ACCGAAACTTTCAATCTGATTCGATCTCGCGGGAGCAAAAACCCGATCGCTTTCCAGGCAACTGTTTTGGTGTTGTATATTGCGTTACAAACTAGCAAGAAATAAGTGAGAAACGGTAGAAGTAATTTAGAATATTCCACATATTGATTGCTCTAAAACAGATCTTCTACCGTTGATATTCACTGCAGAATTTGTTTCCTACCTCTTGTTCCCTTGAGCGCCTTGTTCCCACTTCTCTTTGAGGAGACCTCTATAGTTCGATATCGACCTTTCTAACAATATCAAATTCCATCAGAAGGGGTCGATTTTCAGCGTACCAATTCGCATCGATTCTGCTCGTGAGCAACAGCATGCAATCGACGAGGCGGCTGAGTTGTGCTCGATGCCTTACCGTGCACCCGAACTGTTCGACTGTCAGATCGGCTCCGCCATCACGGAAGCGGCCGACCTTTGGGTAAGTTCAAGTGATTGCCGACAATGGCAATAACATTGTGACAGCGGGCATTTTGGAAGAGAAAACTACGGTACTGGGGAGGAATTGAGGGTGGCGTTCAGGCCGGCTTCGTGATTGAAGGCAGCGGTCACTATGAGCACGCTTTTGACCAGAAACGGCCTCCTGATTTGCAGTGCGCCTGCGTCACCGTTGCTACATATCGCGACAAATTGGTTCTCCATGAAGGTGAAGATGGGTAGTGGAGAGGATAAAGGGTTCAAGCAGACGATAGGAAGCGCTTTTGTGGCAGAAGGCGCGCTATCAACGGCATGGTAGGGCGCCGAGGGTGCTTCCACAGCAGCGCCGCCACTCGGACACGCCCAACTCCGGTATATAGAAAGTGATGGCCAACTCAGGGTTCCCTTATCGAATTATTGACCGCTTCTCTTTAATTTTTTTCTCACCGACGCACCCCTAGGTACCGTGATTAACCGTTCGTTAAACCGATTTCAAAACTTTCAAGTCTTTTTGTTTCTACTCAAACTCAACTGTTTTTCTCTCACGACCCCCTCTTAAGAAATATACGGCTTCAATACGGCTCCGCTTCATCAGCTTAGGTGTGGGAGAGAGCTGGGGATTCCCTCCGCCTCCCCCCGTGACTCTCGTCCCTTTGGGAGGTTGGAGCGACCCCGTCTTTCACTGCCTCGACCTCTTCATCTTCCACATCAGTGACCCCCTCTGAAAACCTCAACTGCCCCCGTCGTCACCGTCACCACATCTAAAACGAATTACTGCTTCACACAGGGGCCGGAATAGACGTCCTCCTCCCTCCCCGTTGGGAATCGCGCAATGGTTGGATAACTCTGCTTGTCACTATGTACTGCTTTCATCTTTAATGGGTATCAACTTACAGCCTCCACTGTTTTCGAGTATTGAGGAGGAGCACATTTGCATAGATCTTACCATTAGGCTATTTGGCACCGTGTTTAAAATCGACCATCCGGTTTTTCAGTCTCTCGGCTGCTGCCTCTACGCGCTGTGCTACTTTGTATCGCCCTTCGATCTCGTCTATGAAAAAGGGAACAGCGTCGCGTTAGCTGCACAAAGTCCCGAGAAGATACAGTATCCCGACGTGAAGCAGTACGTTTTCTCTACACCATATAGTGTTTCAAAATGAGAGCAACCCTCTCCACTGGTTGATTAACAGTTTCAAATATGCACGGCGCATTCCGAGATGCTTGTTCAGATTCGACCCTCTGCTGGTCAGCGTGATGCGTGGTCTTCTCGTTGTCGATCCCACCCGACGGATGTCCATCGAAGAAGCCGCGGACGTGGTGGGGTCGGTAGAAACGAAGCGTAAGGATGGACAGAATGTGATGGCTGTGTAGGAATATCAATGCTCTCCAATTTTGTTGTTCGCTAAATTTTGCTCGAATTTCGGCACACAATCGGGGACCAAAGCTGCCAGACTAACCCGACTAATCAATATCCTACTTTTAACATAGCGATGAAGGCGGCTTGCCGCTGACTATAAATGTTGTCTGTGGCTAATTTATCGCCCAGTGCTCACTTACGGTGCCCAATTACGTGGTGATTTGTGATCAAAGCGCTGTCCCTAGCCAGCGACATATCAAATAGGGTCATTTTAAGAAAATAGGATAAGAAATTGCACTAGATTACTACGAGGTTCTTTTTCATATCTACTCATTCATTTATGTTTCTTTCTCTTTCTTTTCACCTTTACACTTCCAGTGATAACTCGCACATCATATGATGATGTCACCGATCGTGATCGATATACTTCCAAGTGATTATTATATTATATTGTAAGTATTAATTAAGCCATTATGTGATCCAAATTCCAGTATTTCATTAGTTTTTTTGCCTTCTCATAAATTTTTATGATTTGCGTTCGGCATCTCAATGAATCTCGGCATCTTTCAGCAAATGTCAGAATATTAGTAATTCATTGGTTTGAATAGAGACGGGGGCGTCAAAGAAGAGCTGAAATTGGAATGTTTAAACAAACGCGTTACTGTGAGAAAATGTTTCAAAGGCAGTGATGGCCGGGGGCGGTGCATTCTGATGACGTCATAGAGCACTCATTGGTGAAAACGATAGGAGGCGGTCCCAACCATTACCCTCCCGCCTGCACGCTGGGAGGTCTGATCCAACCAATGAAGTTCAATGACGTCATTAAAACACGACACCGCCCTCTGAGCTTATCGTGACCACTGCCTTTAAGTTTTCGAATAGAGTTATATGAGAAATTGAAATGTTTGTACAGTTCTGCTAAATCCAAGGAAATAACTGGATATCAGGATCGTAAATAAAGCAACCAGTTGACACATCTTATTGGGGTATGCCATACGTGCTATTTATGCCAACTCGAAGGAGCGTTCGGTACGTTCTTGGACAGTGCAAGTCTGATGTGAATTAACGTACATAGTTTTAGTTTTTCTGTTGATTTGAATGTAATTTAATTAAAGGCCGTAACGAAATTTAGGTAAGCTTTTCCCACAATTAGGCTCTGTCAAACAAGCGTCTGTTTTGAAAGGGTGAGTGTTCGGTTTTGGCTAATTACTTTAGAGTACGCCATGCATTTCGCTCTTATTGGTGACTATGGAAGGGTTGAGATGGAATGTTATGCCCCAATAATGGATTCGATGGAGGATGCTGATGTTCAAGATGAAGAACCACAGTTTTTAATCTTAGGCTGGATTGATAGCGATTACTTGATCCGAATAGGGGCCTTATTTCCCCGAGATGGTCCGCGCATGTGATCCGGCTCCTGGCTGCTGGGCTACCTCTACCTAACATAAGCCACCTTCTTCTATAGTTTGCTCAATCTTATCCCTCGACCTGTCTTTCGAGAACGGAGGTACGATGCATTTCTCCCTCCTGCCAACCTGTTTGATCTACGATCTAATCGATGCGATCGAACGTGCAGTGGACATTTCGCATCTCCATCAAAGAAATCTCCATAGCTGGCTGTCGCTATTTCCTCTTATTTAGCTCTTGTATTCTGAACGACATTTTACTCTAAACAGTGGTTCTGCTCATGCATTTCTTTCCTTGCGACCCATTTGTTGGTCCCGCCACGATGGCGGTGCCCCGAGGTATTGTTTAGTTTGTTTGCTGCCCGCTTCAACGCTCATATCGCATATTTGCTTAGCGTTGTGATCGATCAAGCTATGAAATGAACACCAAAGGTGAGAGTCACTGCCAGTCCATCCGTCAGTGATGACAGCGTTTGTTTGTTTATTTCATCGACAATCGATGTGAATTTGATCAGCCGATGCGCGTTTGCGCAGTTCTCCTTGGCAAATCGGAGTTCTAAACGAAAATTGGTTGTAATCTGGTTGACCTGATTTGGTGGTGCCAAGTGAGTCGGGTGGGCACAACAATTTTTGGTATTACTCACTCCAAACAGCATGCTTACCCGCCCAAAGCCGCTTCTTTCACTAGGTCTACTCTCAGGAAAAATTGAGGGAAGTCCGGGGTCTGTAGGCTATATCATTTTCCTCAGGGGTTCTACTCAAAAATCGACATGCTCACCCGACTAACACAGCACCAACTTGGCTTCTGGTTAGGGCAACATGCGCTACGCATGCCAGCTGTGTCTCCTTACGACGTCAGAGCTGAAGGCTGAACTGAGTTTTCGGACAGAACGGAACCTTTTGGGGTTCATCTATCCTGGGCCGTATGCAGAACCTCCCAACTGAAGATGGGACAGACCCATTTTAAATTCCATTTGTTCCACCGAATGAGAGCGAATTGTACGTACTTGTATGTAAAAGCAGGGGAACCTGGCAGTGAAATGATCTTTTCTATGAATAGAAACAAATTCAAATGGTTTTCATTCTTCATACCCTGGCGAGAGGTCCAGCATACGGTCCCTGAAAACTCGATGACCCCATAACTGAGATTTCGTTTGAAACCTTTAGATCTCACAAGTCCTCGACATTATATTTACTCAGTAGTGCCAATTCATTCTTGTGACGTCAGCAATTTGGGCTAAATGTGTAATGGTGGTGTTTTCTTGGTTTATTTTCCATCCAAGCACTTCACTATTCCTGTCACTTGCTCACCCTGTTAGGTTACTTCGTAAGCGCGAGACACCCTCAGCTAGGTGCGGGAAAGCCTCACCGTGCTATCACCATGGTCCGTTGTCGGCGTTGAAAACGGGTTAGCTAAAAGTTTTGATTCGAGAAAATGTGCACAGGAGTGCTGAGGAGCTTTCTTTCGAACTGTGCGTAACTGGGTTCTGATTTCAAAACACACGGGTAAAGCTGCGGGAGCTGTAGCACGGTTTCTTTGTAAGAACAGTCAAGGCTCTACTGAATGACGTGAACCACAGTCACAGTCCCATAAACCTCCGTCAAGGCCGAAAACGCTGTGGAGGAATATTGGGCAATTTTTAATGTGGACTGCGAGCTGATCCGGCTCCTGGTAGAGGCAGTTGCCCAAAATATTCGCATCATCAAGAAACGGGCCAACTTATCCTCCGGATAGACCTAGATAGACGCTCTTTACAACCAACCCTGCACAATTTGAATTGGCTAAGCAACGGAGCAATGCTGCGACTATCTTACTCACGAGTTATCTTACCCATCCAATGCCACTTTCCACGGTCCTGAGTAGCCTTCTTGAGAAGAAGTGTTCCGAAATCCAATGTGGCCTTAAAATCATCCTCTCCGATTCCATCGGCTCCATAATCCCATAATTCTCAGCAGGTGGGTTGTCTAGACCAGCACGTTGCTCATCATACTTACAGAGCGGTGCAAACTGCCGTTCTCTGTCTCCACTGAAAAATTTCCTTCGAGCCGAGACTTCTGCATTTGATGCAAGGGTCAAACAACGACGGAAGTAAAAAAACCTATTAAAGCTATTACTCGTTTAAACTCAATTCGCATCGCGGAACTGTCAAAAATGCTAACGGAAGTAACGCTTCCGTCTGTTTCTCGATCTGGTGTCTCTAGGGATTTTTTTTTTCAAAATCTCCTTACTATAGCAAGTACATTTCCGCTCTTCCACGGCACACCAATCTGTCGCGCTTGAACTCTTCGCTCTACTCTTCGTATTGGGACGGTCGACTACGATTTCCTCCTAAGACACGCGACTTTACACGGGGCCGCTTCACCACGTACTTCGCTCCATGCACCCTATTGGCTCCGCCCAATTGTCCGCGCACGTACCCCCAAGTATAACTTCAGAGGTTTGTTTCTTTTTCTGGAACTGCATTTTAATGTATGGAAACTTCGCACGCTTCAAGTATTGACCAGACTGCGGAAAAAGAATTCAAAACTTCACGTACGGTTCCTTTAAACGTAGTTTTGTTTACTAACGCTTGTGAAGACATTTTCTTGCTTTCCTAAGCTCCTATCGAGCAGGAGGAAGGTTGGGTACGACGGCGCAGACCCTCGGTTCCTGCCGGACCAGGGAACCGAGGTTTCGTCATCCCACGGTGACTATTTCCTACAAATCCAGTTTCCGCAGGTCATTGTGTAAGCCTAACAGGCATACTCATAGCGAGTTTGGATAGCAGTACCACTCTACTCCAAAGCAAATCGGCAAACACTTTTTTCGCCTATGTTTATTCCCATCCACATGTTGCGCCATCTGCGAAGAACCGGATTTCCCCGAGATATTGCCGTGGGCTAAACGCTAAGCTCCCTGGGAGACGTTTTCTGTTTGTCTCTGCTTTAGCCGATGTTGTCATCGAAGGTCGCAATTAGCCGTCGTTCGGTGGCCGCAGATTCGTGCATTATTGCGTCTTCTTCGCTGACGACTTGCAGCGATTTCCATAACAAAGTCAACTGTCGTTTGAGCAACGCGAGGGACACACAAGGCAGAGAGTGCTGCTTGCCTGCCCGCGGCGCAAATCCTGCCACCACATCCTGAATTGGCTTGCAGCCAACATAGCTTCCATGAAGATGTGTGGGTCGAAGTCCTCCGACTTAAGCCTAAAGGAGCGACTCGACCCTACCTTTGGTTACTAGGACTAGCCCGCCCATAACAGTTCGTAGCTGCCCTCAATAGACGTGTGGCCAAAGGGCAACGGCACCAGTTTTGAGTTTTCCTTCCATTCCCTTCCTTTCCCTTGTGGCCTGGGGAAAGTCCCAGTGTGCTGTATTATTATGCAAAAATGGGGTTTTGGATGCACTTGTTCCCATGCATTTAATTGGTGTTTGCTGCGACTTTTCTATTTTTATAACACTGCTGAGCAGATTCCATCTACCTTGAAGAGACGGCCTGTCGCTCGAGCTTACCAGACTACGCCCTGAAATTCATTTTGACAGAGAAACGCTGTTGTGGCTGAACGGAAGTGGAGAAACTGTAGTTAAAGTAGTCCACGGCGATACTGTGATTTCTTGTTTCGGGTCAT